AACTCGTTAGACGTATCTTGGAGAACAATGCTGATCTGAATATTATTGTATTGAGAAGACGATCCATATATTTTTTCCATTTTAATAGGGAAGAAAAACGTTGAAATTTTTCCCCAATTTTCTTTTTTTTTTCAAGTAATTGGAGAAGCTTTCAAATTCTATTCTTCAGGAAAAATCATTGTCAAGCATTTCAGATACTCCAGAAAATATAGTACAATGTATGAGGCCTTATTATTCAGAGTGAAGTACCCCTACGTTACCTCAAGCTTTCCATTTAAATTAAAAGAGCACTAATCAAACAGAACGACATCATCAATCTGAAAGCTGATTAAGACTCAGAACAACAGTGTTCCATCAAGTCTCTTATCCCTTGGGGGAGGGGGCATAATTAGGTACCCTCAATGTTGAAATAAACTCAACCGGCATTAATTAACCCCCGGGCACAGGCTGATTTGAATAATTTAAGGGGGTAAGAGTACTCAGCGCCCGATTGTGAATTAAAATTTCATTGGGAGCTCTAGACCGACTTCGTGGTCTCTTTAGTTAAAAATTGCGGGGCTCTCGTACTCGGTAACTGGGGGAGTTGAAATTTATGGGGGAAACGATTAGGAAAGTTTCGGGGTAAATCCTTGTCATCAATCATTGCGTTTTCGAATTCTTAGGGGTCGCGAAAAGTTGCATAATGGGGTTTCAATTAAAGGGTTGATTGTGAAGTTGGGGAAAGTTGAGGGGAATTGGACGCTTTTGATGGTAGGAGGGCTATGATAGAGATGAGTGTTATCAATGAGTTTAGCATTTTTTTTGACTTCTCGTCACAAAAATTTCTCTCCGTGAACTACAGTAATATTTACTCCATTTTTTACTTTCGTTTCGACGTTTTTCATAATTTTATTCAAATTTCCAAAAAAAAATCATGAAAAAAATGAAAACAAAAATGGCCGAGCATAAAAATGACAGTCAGATTACATCTAGATAGACGATTTTTCAGCATAAATGTCAACGAGAAAAAATTACTGACAATCGGGTAAGTTGATCGGTCAGTTTGTATCACGAGGTATTGGTCAAGTCAGAAATGCTCACAAAATGGTAAATTTATGGCTGACTTGACGCATGTCAAAAATTACCGTCATTTTGCATCCCTAGCTATCACATAATCACTGTTATTCTATTTAAAAATTCATTTCTTGTATTTGAGGGCTGAATAGCCGAAACGACAGGCAGATAAAAATCTGTTTGAATCATTTATAAAAATTTCCCGAATCAAGAATGGAGATATTCGGTGCAAATAACACTATAAAATGAAATTATCGACCAACCAATCTGTTTCATTTACCCATTCAACTTATTCCAACTCGATTCCCCCGGCCGAAAAATAATGTATCCCCCTCACAAATATCCCAACGTCAATAAAACCCCAACTAATAAATCCCGGCAACAGCGTACCCTGAAAATTCATCGAAATATCGGAAAAATAAATTGGCGAGTCTAGATGGAGTGGAAGGGATTATCCGAATATTACATATAACCCATTTTATTTTCCCAGTGCGTGTTGAAAACTGATGTGCACGTCAGAGAATCGACACGAGCGAATGAGTTTCATGGAGTGAATCAACGAAACGGATTAAACAGACGCATGGCAACATCCTGATAAATAATCTGGTAGCAATGTGTCACTCATTCGGGCGGTGGCATCGATGTCCGCTCAACAAATACTCGGGAGGGAAAAATCGGAACAGTTATATTTGCACGTACAGTTTATCAAATTGTTCCTGGAATCTGACACTCTATGACTGCTCTATTCTTGGTATTGGCAATATAGTCACGGCCGAGCAAACAGTATGCAATATGATGAGATGCGTGTTCAATATTCCTGATATCTAGTGTGAATCCGTCATGGTGAAGCATTATTGGAGAAATGTGATTTCTCGGAAGCATTTTTATCGTTCAGGGTGAAAAAACTAATTTATTTGCAAAACTATTTTTACCCTGATTTTTACTATATGAATGATTTTTTAAATCATTTATTGATAATTATTTTTAGCATTATTCTCATGAATATTTTATGAAATTTTGATGAAAACGAGTGTAGAGAAAAATTAAGATAACTTTTTTTCTGTCTCTATTACTTAAAAGAATGACGAAGAATCAAATGGTGTTTAGGGTCAAACAGTCTTGAGGGTCAAATGGAAGAGACGAATGGATCACTTCGTTCTTCGAAGTCTCTTCGATGACACTCTTAACTCCTGCGTCGATCTCTCCCTTTTGACCCTCAAGATAGTTTGATTCTTCTAATCACCCGCTTGTGTCTCCCGGAACTGTTTGACCCTTAAACTACGGAATTCGCAACTGTTCTTTGTCCCGGCGCTTTATTTTGTAGACAAAAAAATGAAGTCTAACATTCTTTAGGGTCAAGCGTGAGAGACAAGTGGAGGATCAAACCTTTCTTCAGGGTTAAACGGGAGAGATGATTGTATCAAAGTGAAGGGAATATCTTCATCTCTCAGTTTTAAAAAAATCAATTTTTTCAAGTACTTGCGATTTTGGATAAACATCTTTAAACTTTAATGGGAAAACCAAATGGAATGATCTCTTGACGTGTCTCTCCCATTTGACCCCCGCCAGTCTCTCCTATTTGACCCTCAAGAATATTTGACCCACTTGACCCCTCCGCTTGTCTCTCCCATTTGACCCTTGAAAAACGCAGTTCACTCCCATTGCACTTCGCCCCCCGCCCCCTCCAGCTATCGGAAATAGCAACGAATTCTTCTCATCTCCCCAAGCTTAGTCGGAATGTGACGCATACAGATGTCCCTCGGGATGGTAAATATCCTCGGAGTTTTCATCGGTCACGAGAGAGAGTGGATGCTAACGGCTGCGTATTTCACGGATGAAATACCTGGATGTACTGTAAATTTCTTTCGGGATGCGTAGAGACAGTAAGAAATGAGAGATGGGGGTAAAAAGGGGAAATAAATTTCCAGGTTTTTTTTTCTATTTCCACCGCTGGAATAACAAACAGGAGATGTAGCTCATTATTTTCCATGCCTCTCAGGAATTCCAATGACCACGTGGAAAGGGGAAAATAAAGGAGGTGAATATATTATTCGTGTACCTAGTTTTTGCGATTCATCGATTCGCAGTTATTTCCGCGGATAGAATTTAATGGTGAGGAGGGTGTGGTCTGGCTGCGATGAAATATATTCGGCTGTTGAAACTTGCAATTTCCCCTGGGAGAGAGGAGAGAAGTGTCGGAATTAATTCGCTGGGAGAAAATTCTGGATTGTTATGTGACTAATAGGAAAAATTCTGGATACGCATGGAGGATTTCGATATAGGAATTAGGGGTGGGTGGAGCAAAGTAGGACGGCAGCAAATTTTCTTGTTTAAGGGTCAAGCGGGAGGAACGAACATAGTCATTAAGAGTCACGCTTTCTTAAGGGTCAAATCGGAGGGATGGGCGGAAGGGTCAAGAGGGTCAAATGGGAGTGACGTGCGAAGTGATCACTCAACTCGTCTCTCTCATTAGACTCTTAAGGACGTTTGACCCTGCTGATTGCTCTGCTGGTCTCTCCCGCTTAATCCTTAAAAATGCTAGACCCACCACACGTCTCTTCCATTTGACCCTTAAAGTCGTTTGACCTGCCCCTTCCATTTAACCTTCAAGAATGTTTCATCCTTCACATGTCTCATCCATTTGACCCTTCACCTGTCTCTCTCATCTGATTCTTCACAATTTTTTCAAGCACTACAATTGAAAAAAGAATTAATTTCGCTCAGCAATCTTTCCAATTCTCCCCACTCTCCCCCAACATCTCATATTTTCAATAATTTCCAGTAGCCTCCAGCGGTTATCTTCGCAAATAATGAACATGACAATGTTCCCAGCGAAATTACACATTTCTTAAAGATGAAAATTCTTCCGTTCCGCTGAACGCCACCCTTCGCTTTCCATATTTCAATAGAAGCCACGAACAAAGGCGACAGGAGAACAACTTGGAAAATGGGAGACGCCTCTTCCAGGAAACATTTCCGTCCATCACCGTTATTATCCATGACAATTTCAACTAAATAGAGAAATTCCAATTCCATCGAATAATTTCGAATAATTCCCATCGTCCCCACAAAAGAACAAAAACAAGTATCTGCATAGAAGCTTCACGACCTTGGGCAAGTGGGCAGAAGCCCAGCGGACCACTTAATTTTATAAACATCGTCGATAGAACGCTGTCCAGACGATCTCTCACCCACACTAGTTGCCTCTGGGAGCATTTTCGTATTTTTTTATAGTTCAAGCAATTTCAGAAATGTTTTTCAAATACACCATGAGTTTACAAGAGGGATTATAGCTCACCCCTTTCTCCTGGTCAGCTTAAATATAGCCAGAGTGACCAGCAACGAAAATGAAACATTTCTCGAAAGGTTAGTGACCTTGAATTATCCAGATGTTGAGGTGAATCAATCAACTAATGGGTTATAACCCCCTATTTTCAGTGATATCATTCTTTAGGACCATCGACTTTCAAATCATCCATTCTCCCCCTGAATTTTATCGCCAGTCATTTTTATACTTTTCGGTTTACAGCTTCGTTTCTTATCGCAAGAGTTCCATCCTTCGAACACTTAGCATTTTATGAATAGCGATAAAAATATTGCGAGTATGAAACTACAAAGTGGGTTACTAACCTCATATAATCGGAATTTGATGTTTAGAAAGGCTGTGGTGGCTTTGAATTCCGTAGAAACTACTGGAGTAAAATCAAATTGTTGATGTTCATTTGATCGTAAGCTTGATCATTTGTGAAGGGAATATCAGCGAGATACAGGATCTCAATATATAATTTGCGCTTGCCCCCACACCATGTGCTGACATGAACTTGTTGGATATGTTATGACAGTTCACATGTGCCTTACGACAATCTCCAAAATCCCTTGACCTTTCTTGGTAAGCATTGACATCATGAAGACAAACAGTTTCATTGATTGATGTCTTTTTGTTGCAGGTCACCACCGCCGAAAGGAATGCCTCACCTGTAACCATGAACTTCGACAATACGTCAACTTTCCTAGACCACCACAACATCACCAATGATACCTGCGGTGCAACAGTTCCAATCGTCGGAATCGTCAATCAAGTTCTCTATTCAATTGTCTGCATCGTTGGACTTCTTGGCAACACTCTGGTCATCTATGTTGTCCTTCGGTTCTCGAAAATGCAGACTGTCACGAATATGTACATAGTGAACCTGGCGATAGCAGATGAATGTTTCCTCATTGGAATACCGTTTCTGGTGACGACGATGAGCTTGGGATACTGGCCCTTCGGAAAGATCATGTGCAAGGCGTACATGACAACGACTTCGATAAACCAATTTACAAGCAGCATATTTTTGTTTATCATGTCAGCTGATCGTTACATAGCCGTTTGCCATCCCATATCATCGCCGAAGATGCGAACGCCGTTCATATCCAAGATAGTGTCGTTGAGTGCATGGGCAACATCAGCACTCTTCATGGTTCCGGTGTTTCTGTATGCAAATACAGGAGAGAGCCAGAATGGAATGAGTTGTAATATCTTTTGGCCGGATGATCATGGTGGTCAGACGACGTTTACTCTGTACTCATTCGTCCTGGGATTTGCGATACCCTTGACCCTGATACTGATCTTCTACTTCTTGGTCATCAGAAAACTGCAGACAGTCGGACCGAAGAACAAATCGAAGGAGAAGAAGCGATCGCATCGGAAGGTGACCAAGTTGGTGTTGACTGTCATCACGGTTTATGTTCTCTGTTGGCTGCCATACTGGATCACTCAGGTTGCGCTGATCTACACACCTCCCAAACAGTGTCAATCGCGGATTGGGATCACAGCTTTCCTTCTTGCGGGGTTTTTAAGCTACTCTAACAGCGCAATGAATCCGATATTGTACGCTTTCCTCAGTGACAATTTCAAAAAGAGCTTTCTCAAGGCTTGCACCTGCGCGGCTGGCAAGGATGTCAATGCAACACTTCATATTGAGAACAGTGTTTTTCCAAAGAAGGGTAAAGCGAGCGCTGAGAGACTGCAGTCCAATAAAATGGTTACCTCGGGAACATCCAGAGGTGAAATCGAGGATGAGGAGGGAGAGAGGGGACTTCTGATCAGTAAAACATCTACCACTACCATCACCATGACATCTAGGTCAAATATTACGATTACGAGTGATAATAAGGAGAAGGAGAGTGCCAAGAATGGCAACCAGGGAACATTGTTGACGCAGGTCTAGGGCATATCAGGGAATCTACGTTTCGTCATTCTTTGAGGGATCATTGGAGATGAGAAAAACGTCAAAGTGTAAATATGAACAAGGAATCAGTTCGGCTCAGAAAAATCTACGTTTCATGCTGAACGGATTTCCTTATCTATCATCCCTAATGCGAATGTCTCGTGTTTCAGAAAATGTTCGCTTCGAAGCTCCGGGTGATCTTCATGAATAATGTATCAGATGCAATCAAATTTGAATAATGGGAAATAATCTCCATAGGCTATTCCAAGTAGTTCATTCAAGAGGACCAATCGTCTTCATCAGTGATCACTTTCACCGTCTCCAGTGCTCGCCTCAGAAAATTAATATAAGTATCAAATTGTGGAATTCTCTCCGATATTACTTCCACTGTTGATATGACATTCTGAATGACAAGTTGACAACGGTCCCCGTCAATTTAGCAATGTGCGGATGAACGAAGTATTCTATGGCATTTTCACACCCTGCGGGCATACGTCATCTCAATATCTACCCCAGGGGGGAGGGGGGGGGG